ATACGATGAATATCAATTCAATAATATCCAATTTGATAATAATATTATGGAACTAAATATGGAACTAAATTGGAACTAAATATTATGGAACAATGATATTATGGAACTAAAATTAAAAGTCTTCCACTAAAACACTTTTTATCTTATTTTAACAATGATTCAAAACACCAAGCTAAAAGACTGAACTTTTTTTTTGTTAAAAAAGTTTTAGAATGTCCTTGACAGAACCCTGATTTGAAATTTATAAAGCAATTATGTAATTTTTTACGCATATATGTACTATTAGAAAAAAATATAAGTAATGTACTAAATACCTAAAATATCTGAAAGGTTTTGTTTTTTAGTTATTTTAACAAACAAGTTTAATATTTTCAGCCTACTGACAGGATGGTCAGGGCCAGCTGAGGTTTGATGATCCACACCACTCTATTTAGCCACCTCATAGAAAAGCAATTACTTCTTTGATCAATGAAAATCAACAAATATAATACCAATTTCTAAAATTACTAATACATACTTGTCCAAATACTATTTTCTGATTGCCATTGTGCTACATATTTGAATGGATTGTCACCAAATGTACTGTCCTTCAAACTGAGCACATCTTGGACTTGAACAATCAGTTTGATTTCCTTCCCAGCTTTAGATCAATGGATGTTTTTATTTAAGTTATAAAGGACTGGAGTTATGCTTAAGAAAGTTACAAAGTTACATTTTGTTTATCATGGTATGTTACTATAAAAGTTAATGAGTGTTCCACCTAGCTGGCTCACATCCTGGATCCCAACTTATCACTGATTGGATTATTATTAAAACTGAAGTACTTTAATGTTATTTCTAACATTAATTTTATTTCTGAAAAAATATGAAAGGCAACCAGTTATTAAAATATTTTCTAGAATTATATCATATTATCAATTTGTATTATAATATCAATATCAAATTCTACCATACTATCAATATCTACTTGTGTTATTTTCTAGTTTTTTTGTTAGTTTCTAGTTTCTTTTCTGATTCAATTTGTACATCTCTTGATGTATGATTTTGAATTAGATTGAATATCACATCACATCAAATATCATATCAGTTATATAAACTATAATTATATACTATTATATATATACTTCACAGTTGGATTATTTCAAGAGTAAAATATTACTAAAAATGGCCAAAGTAAATTAAATTTTATTTTGTGTTTTCGATATATATAAATTTAAGGTATTTAATTAATAAGTTTTTATGCAATGTTATACTAAAGATAAGTAGCAGAAGTGATAGATTCAGGTTTAAACAAATTCACCTTACCTTATATTATAACTTAAATATAATCTTCCACATACAAATTGTATGTGCATGATTATATCTAAGTTATAAAAAGAAATGCTAAGAAAAATTTTAAAGCTATTTTAAATCTTTCTTTGCTTTATGCAAAGAAAGTTACAAAAGCTATATAATATATAAAAAAATTTAAAATACATATGTATAGTATAGGAATTATTAATGACACATACAAGTTTTTTTATAAATCTTAAATGTAAAGCTTTAAATGAATTGTTTTGTGTCTCAGCAACAATGTAACATAATTAACGATGTAGCAATATTATTTTTGGAAACAAAAAATTTGCATGTTTACAATTAGTATGCCATCTATGCCTCTGATGAATGCTTTCAGAAATAAAATAGTAGCTTTTTTTGCTTCATCTTTCAAGAAGTTTGATTTATAAGTCATCTATGTTTAACTAACATCTTCAGTTTTAAGCTTATCTTTTATCATATTTATTAATCTTATTTATAATAATTTTTTTTGGTGATTTAAAGTTGCATTTTAGGAACATATTAACTTTTGTTACTGACACATATTTTTAAGTGTTAGGTTTAAATAAAAATTATTTTATAAATTTATTTTTATAACAATTTTTTATACAGAAACATTTTATACAAATAGATTGTGTAGGATTTACTAGTAGTAATTTGAGATTGTTAGATTGTCTCATTGAGTCAGTCTTCATGAAACAGTCTCAAAATGTTACAAATCATTACTATGGATTTAAAACCTATTAGTATAGTATAGGTAAGTAAACTTATTATCTATAAAATCTGTAAAAGGTGGTGTAATGAAAATAAAGTTATAAAAAACAATCATACAAGAAAACATTTCAAAACATTAATTTTTTTTTAGTTCTTTTAGGTTGTACAAATTACAGTATTGCAGATTTTCAGTTAACTGCAAGTGGTTACCATGTTGAATCAATTATCTCATGTGTTAGTATTTGCAATTCGTATACCCCACCAGTTTTCTTTTATGCTTTTTTTCTTGAAGGCCAACTTTGTTTCTGCAGAAATGCTTCACTTCCACAAGTAAACTTATCTAACTTTAATAGTCCTTGTTCCACAAGCACATGTTTGAGCAATAACTCCATCTCTGATTGCTTTCTAAGTGTCTATGAAGTAGTTCCACTTGGATTAGGGATTGTTAAGTGGAACATAACTTTGTGTCCTTCCATATTACTTGTGGACAATGAAGTTCAAATAAAAACAAATATTTTGAGAGGTAATTTTTTTTTAAATTATTGAATGCATTGAGTTTTACTTTTTTACAATTTAATTTTTTGGGATGAAGTCCCATCTTTTTCTTTAAAAAAAAAAAAGTTACTCGGCTTTGACTTGGACTAAATTAGATGTTTTTTTTATTGAACCCATTACTGGCCTATGTTAAATTATTGAATTGGGTTAGTTTAGTGGAGAGGTTACTTAATAGGATTAAACTTATATTTAAAAAAAATAATGTCAAGGATATTATTTAAAAAGTATTTATATTCACAAAAATATGACACGTTTAGTAATTTTGTAAAACTTAAATGATCCAACTTCCACTAATTTTGTTAATTGAAATTTGTTTAACAAAATCCTAATATATAAACATATATATATATATATATATATATATTATATATATATATATATATATATATATATATATATATATATATATATATATATATATATATATATATATATATATATATATATATATATATATATATATATATATATATATATATATATTATATATATATATATATATATATGAGCACTCTATTTTATATATTCTTTTACTAGAACCTCCAGTTGATGAATTTAATGAAACTTCCACTATTTTAGCTATATTTTCAAAATATTTTCATCAGTTACTGTATATATTTGTTTAAATTTAGGTGATGCATCAAGTGCATATGTGAGACCAGTACCAAATGATTTACCATCAGATGTTCAAACAGTCAATGGTATGACAGTGAAAAGACTTTTTTATTTACCTGGTTTACAGCAGTGGTCGCAAGAAATTGGAAATAATTTTACAAACACTTTTATTACTAAAATATGGATACAAATTGATGAAAATGTTGGTGGTATTTATGTAATTCCATCCACTTACCAGGATAATGAATTCTATTATTTCTTATTGGTTGTCACACAAGGAACAAACACAAGTCTAACTGTTTTTCTCCCTACAAATCAAACTTTATTTTATTATGCAGGTATGCAAAAAATTTCATTCAATTATAATTTCAATAATGATAAAGTTTTGCAGTTAAAATCGTTTTTTTTTGCTATTTGGCTATTACAATCAACAACTTGAATGTAAACAATTATTTTTAAAAACATACAGTTTGAAATAAATATAGTTTTCTTTTTACAGTTTTATTATAACCGATTTAAGTCTATAGTTAAGATAAAAATTTTTAATATATAAAAAAAAGATATTGAATAAATAAAGTTCTTTTTTAACAAACAACATGTTATCTTCAATATTGATCTTGAAGAATAAATACTGATATAATCAGTGTTTTGATAAGCAAGGTGGTGCCATACTGAAAGCCTGCTACCAGGCACTTTAGTACATACATCAACTATCTTATAGTTGCAGCAAAAGAGTGCTGCAACATTGATTGAATGTTTGGGGTGGGGCATCAATCTTTTCTTACATTATTCTTTGTTTTTTTCTTCTTTTTCTGAAAAAGTTGTTTGCTATAAGGAATTAGAGAATAAAAAGAATAAGCAATTGCTGATAGATTTTTTCTGATAAAGTAGCTTAGAATTAGTCTTGTTGTTTTATGTTGTACTTTTTAAATAAAGTTAGTGTCTTTTTTCATATATGTATTCCGAATAGTAGAGGTTATTCTAGATGAGAGCGTACTAACAAAATAAAAGATAGGGTTAACGACTTGAACTGAAGACTTAAAATGTCGTACAATTGTAATGTGTAACAATTTAACTATATAGGCATTTAAAAATGTGTGTCAGATATTCCGAAAATTCTATTTACAACTCTTTTCCTTTTATTTGATAAAAAGAACGCCATTTAAGAACTAAACACTTTATACCTTACATTTCAATTTTGAATAAAAGTTTTCTACAATGAACTCTGTCAAATAATAATATAATAATATATAATAATATATTGATGTTGAAACAGAGATAATATTGCAGAACTTATCACTAGGTTATTGCAACCATTACTATAAACATAACCATACAAACAAAGAAGTTTCTTTAGTAGGATGTTTTGTAGTAAATGCTTCAGAAAAATCCATAAAAAAGATTTTAATAGGGTATTCTTGATCAATAGCTGGAGTTAAAATGTCTTAGCTTTTAAGTAATATTTAATATTACTTAAAAGCTAAAATAAGTAGCAATCCTTAAATGTTCAGAGCTACAATGTGCCCGTATGTATTGAGTCTAATGGGCAGACTCTACCTACAGACAGGTAGAGTCTGCCCGTACGTACTCAATACATACGGGCAGACTCTAATGTTTTCACAGGCTTTGTGCATATCATAAAGTTTTTAATTGTAAAATAATTTCTTTTAAGCTGATTATTTTATATCATTTTCACAGTAAACTTGAGTAACGGAATCAAACATCAGTATGGCTTTATTATCTTTTTGAGTGAATACAGATTGTAAAATCTGTATTTACTCAAAAAGATAATAAAAGATAAAAAATTGTGTTCAATAAATTAGAAATATCTATAAGGAATTACCTAAAGAAGGGTTTGATGCAAGTTTAGAATAAAAGGGTTTTCAGTAGATATAAGATCATATATCAGGCTTTGTTATGAGATTTTGTTGCCTAACGGAAGTTAAAAGTTTAACGTATGTTAATGTAACTTTACTCAATATTCATATTTACGTTGTTAAAAATTAAATTATGTCAGTTGAGTATTTCAAGTCCGGCATTGTGATTAAATTTAATTTGAAACCACGTTAAAAATTATTTAAAGTTTTAATATCTTTAAATTACACAATTTTGTTATAAAAAATTATCAATAAAATTTAAATATGCTTTTTGAAAAATAAATATATTTCGTTATTTTAAAAAACTTATACTTAAACTATTTGTTTCTTAAAACATTCATAACACAACTTTATTGTCATATTTTTGCTTTCTCGCAATTTAGTTTTTTTTTAAATAAGCAGAGGAATGAGGTGGGGGGGGGGGGCAAATTGTTTATGTGTGAAGTTCTTAATGACCAATAGATATTTGTCTTACTAGTTTACTTTGTATCAACATTGTTTTAAAATATGATCAAACTTTTTTTTCATTAAAACTTTCACCCAGAAATACAAAAATTAGTGCCCAGAAATATAAAATTTGCCCCATTAACATATATTATCAATTTCATACTATTTTACATTTTTTTTAGTGGTTTAAAAATAAAAAAAAAATTGAAAATCTTTAACAATTTATTTTTAAATTTTGGCTTTAACAAAATTTTCACTATAACTATGTTTAATAAAATTTGAACCATCTGTCAATATACTTGTTGTCACATGGTGAAAATGTAAAAAGATGGGTGCTTAGAAATGATTGTTATATAGTTTACTAAATTCTCTAAAATAAGTTTTCCAACAGATTAGGATTTATCTGACAATGCATTAACATATAGTTATAAGTGCATTAAGCACCTGTTTATATTAGCAATTTTACTTCCTGCTTATATATAACAATTAATATAACTTATATATATAACTTATACATAACTTATAACTTATATAGCTTATATAACAATTAATTCCTGCTTTTTGCTAATAAAAAATGAAAAGTTACAAAAAAAGTTTTTTTTTTTTAATTAATTACTCAAAAACTATTTAAAAAAAAAACTTTTTTTTTAAAGTATTTTTTTTTAAAGTTGTTTGATAATTGTGAAAATATTTTTTATAACAATTAATTCCTGCTTAATGTTTTCAGAAACTATTTTAAAAAACTGTTTAAATAATTGAGACTAATTCAGAAAAGTTTTTGCGTAACATAAATGGCTTAACGCGTAGGTGAAATCATTTTATACATAAAAACCATTTCATACATAAAGTTTGCATGGTGTAATGCTTCTTAACAAGGCCTGATATAAGTTAGAACTTTCCTTGTCAGACTTTAGAAATGTTGCAAAGAATACATTTTGTGACAAAAAGCAGTTATTTAAGGTTTTCATTTGTCATCAATCCATTTTATATTTAGAAATTTAAAATCACCAGCCAAAAAAAAACTTGTAAAATGGCCATTATTATAAAAATGTTTTGCAGCCAGAATTGGTTTACTAAGGTCTAAATTATTAGTAGAGTTTGTAGGTCATCAAACATTTAACTAATATTTTCTCAAACCCATTTTAGAGACACACCATGTAAATTTAATTTTTGGATAACAATTCAATTGAGTTAATTTCAAAAGTTTTCTTTTCGTGTGTAGATGCATACTCCACCACCTTATTTAGCCTTAACACCTTACCCATCTAATATTGAACATATCTTTTATGTGACTTTTATGTGTATGGAATGCCTCAGCAAAGTCTAGAAATATAAGTCAACTGAAATATTTTTGTCAGATGCAATGTCTGTTTTTTTGGCAATTTAACACAACTGTGGTTAAAGAAATTGGACTAGAGTCAGCTGATTCAAGTCTGCCATCTTTCTTATCCAATGGTTTTATATTTGCATGTAACCATTAGTTTATAGATAGAGCCCCATATTCAATTGAGTGATTAAATAATAACTCTAATGGTTTACATAAGATTAGTGAGCATTCATTTAACATTCTTGGGTGTACTTTATCCATCCCTTTTGATTTAGTTATGTAATTTTTTAATTTTATTTTAATTATTGGTTTATAGAATTTTGGGTTGGGGCAATTTGGATTGTTTTTTATCCTTCAAAATAATGTAATATTATAGCTATTTTTGTTTATAAATACCAAATAGAAAAAGTTTTTTAATGTATTACATATTGTTTTACCATCTGTTAACTTAATATCACCATTTGTATATCTTATGGTCTGATAGTGTTTTTTATTTTGGTTTTACTGTTTATATAAAAGTATTTATAGTGTTTGATTTTGATTGTTTTACTAAATTACATTCATGTTGTATAGGCGTTATCTATAAATTATGTCATACAATTTTTGACTTTTTTTGACCTCCCCCTCCCTCTTGTCACAAAATCGTAAACACTTATTGAGTATTTGTATGAGTCATAACATAACCACTAACTTTATTTGTATGAATCGTCACATAAACACTAACCCCCCCTTCCTTAGAATGTGACATAATTTATGGCCACCCCTAATAGTGTTTTTTCTTTTTTTTTAATTTTTTTTGAAGATTTTTTATTTCTAATAGTTTAGTTGTTTTGTTGAATTTGAGGGATAAACATTTTTTAAACTTTTTTGTAAATTGATAACCATTTTGAATAGCTTTCATAAATGCTTAAGGTTTTAAATTCTTTTTGCCAATTTATCAAAGTATTGATTCATATTTTCTTTTGGAGAACATATTATATTTGTGTTAATTGTATATATTTATTTGTAGCTTTTATTATTGGTTATTTTACCCATTATGGATAAAATTACCAATAAACCCAGCATTAGGCCCACACTGATGATGTCATACTAAAATAGATAGTTGCAGGGGCTTGAATGCGTACATCTATCCTATAGCCTGCTGCTGGTAGGAGTGCTACTACATTGACTAAATATATATATATATATATATATATATATATATATATATATATATATATATATATATATATATATATATATATATACATATATATATATGATTTAAATGTTGACATCTTGTACAAGAGTAAATATATATATAAACTAATTTAAAACATCAGGTCCTACGAGTTCTCTCAATACTAAATAATTTATTTGAAATTTTTGCCGGATTATAGGCACCGGCATCAACAGCATATAATATAACATAATTACAAAAATTGTGACCGTTAAATAACAACAAAAAATTTTTAAATTTTGACGTCACCTTTATAATGGCTTCTTTTACCTAAGTATGAAAAAAATGAAGTCCAAAAATTTGTTTTTCAATATTGTCCATTGTCCAAATTCATACCACCATACGTTGGAGAACATTGATGTTTTTGTATCTCCAATGCCTCATGGACTTTTCTTTCAAATTTTTTATCCTCAACTTTAAGTGTTATTACTTTATTCCATTCAATGTCCTCATTACAATTTACTTTAT